TTCTCCCAATTCCATTGATTAGATGTTGAAGTAATGAATACTTTTCTCCCAATGCCATTGATTAGATGTTCAAGTAATGAAGGTATCTTCTCCCAATTCCATTGATTAGATGTTGAAGTAATTAATGTACCTTCTCCCAATTCCATTGATTAGATGTTGAAGTAATGAATACTTTTCTCCCAATTCCATTGATTAGATGTTCAAGTAATGAAGGTATCTTCTCCCAATTTAATTGATTAGATGTTCAAGTAATGAAGATATTTTCTCCAGATTCCACGAGTTGGTTCCAGTTACAGACAATCTCGGATACGACCACCGGCACTCGCCAGTGCCTCGTCCCCTGGGAGAGATCGCCTGGAAATATGGCTGCCATGCCGGCTCACGTCTCGCAGACTTCTAACCGACGCCGACCCACCCCCAGACTCTAGGACCGTGTCTGGCGCGTCACTTTCTCCTCGCAATAGCAGACGGCCACCGCCCCCAGTACTTAAAGAGTGCCAGAAATGGTACCAGTTTCTCCAAATCCCCCGAGGGAGGGGACAAGACGGATGACTTAGCACTATGAATGAGGCGGTCAGATTTTTCACTAGTCAACTGTCCCAGTGACCTTCGACCCCAGAGTCAAGCTACCACACCCCACCCACCCCGAGCATCACAAACACCACCCACCCACCCCGAGCATCACAATCACCCCCCAACCCCACCCCACACCACAAACTGCTTGATCGTAGCCGCCTCTTCCATTCCCCTCCCTACCCCTGGTGGAGGTGCGAACTATATCTAATAATAAATATCTTGAGATTTTTTCCCCACTACTGCCTGAGGGCTAAAGGCGGATATGAACTTTATCTTTCCTTGTTTTGTCTTTCTCTCAGTCTCATCTTTCTGTCGTGTCTTTCAGTCTTACATTTCTGGCACACAAACATGTGAACAATTGATTCGACGAATATTCGAATCGCTGAAGTGTGAGTGTGTGTGTGGGGGGGGGGTGTAATCACTAGGACATTACAGCTAACAGTTGTATTTTTTATAAGATGCAGCTCTACAGTAGACGGAAGTGACGTAGTGTCATACTGTATAGTAGACGGAAGTGACGTAGTGTCATACTCTACAGTAGACGGAAGTGACGTAGTGTCATGCGCAGTCACTCACACAAAGGGGTTCGAACTCCTCTCTACTGCTTTACTAGATTTAAGATAAGCTAACTCTACTTCACCTAACCTGTACAGGCATGATCCGAGATACTTCCACTAGATCAACTTTCGCCAGCATTGGACAAGCCAAATTTATCTGCATTTTTTTTTCGCTTCTTTCCCCTGCTATTTATTTCCCTTTCGTGTTCGGCGTCTACCTCCCTTGGTCGCCTTCACCAACCATCAATTTCTGTTTTCAGCAGGCTTGTATGTAGATTTTTGGGACGTCACTTTTGTATGTAGGCTTCTGTTGACGTCACCGTTGTATGCAGATTTCTGAGGACATAACTTTTCACTTAATGACTTCTGCTTTTCAGGCGAAAATTATGCCGTTGATGCCGTTGATGCCATTGATGCCGTTGATATCGTTGATAAGTCTTGGAGTTCTTGACCTGTTCGTTAGTTATTGGCCCTTGGACTCGTAGGGCTGGTTAGTTGAAATGTCAAGGTCGTATATGCTAGTTAGTTGAAATGTGAAGGTCATGTAGGCTGGTCAGTTGAAAGTTCAAGGTTTATGTACGAAGGCTAGTTGTAAGGTTCACTTGTAGGTCTAAGACTTCAGGATTGATTGATTGATTCATTGATTGATTGATTGATTGATTGATTGATTGATTGATTGATTGATTGATTGATTGATTGATTGATTGATTGATTGATTGATTGATTGATTGATTGATTGATTGATTGATTGATTGATTGATTGATTGATTGATTGATTGATTGATTGATTGATTGATTGATTGATTGATTTACCAGATGTGTTTGCTGACCCTTGATGCGTGCGCGTCTGTTGTTTTAACTCAACATACACATATCCCTCTAAACTGAATTCATTCTATACATCAATAGTAAAAATATACAAGCCACGACACAAGATATGCAGAAAGACAGCCTACATATATTATATGGAATTAGAAACATCTACATAGATTGTACATAGATGAAATGGAACAGGTAACATATACATACAGCATACATCAAAGATATGGAGCAGGGAACATACATAAGAGATATGAATCACATGAATAAATCGCACATTCCGCATTATTTTTTTTTAAATTGAAAATAAAATATGATAAAAGGCAGTCACCCATAAACGTTTGTTGCGATGCTAGGGGTTGGGACAGGTTTAGACACATAGTTTTAGGCGGGGCTAGGGATTGGGACAGGTTTAGATATATAGTAGGGTTAGGACGGTATGGCTAAACAGATCTCGAGTATTCACTCGCTTAGTACACAATCATTAAACAATCATTAATCAATCATATGTTTTTCACATACTTCATTCCTTGTGTCGATATCGTATTGCTTTATTGGGTATTATCTGGTCATAGTTTAGAGCAGTTCATGATACGTATTTGTCAGGTATATGTCAGGTGAGGTATATGCAAGATATCTACATATACATTCAAAGTTGTATTCTTTTCAACAGCTGAATATATCGCTTCAAGCGCTGTAATAGATAATCCCATCCAAAGAGATCAGGATTAGCTTACATGTCAGATAATCCCATCCAATAAGATAAGGGATAATGTATCTGTTGTTTCGGGACTGATGTTATGACCTGATGAAACGAAGAAGCAAATGAAAACACCGCCACGTTTAAGATCAGAAAGTTGGATTAGTGTTGTAATACGGATGAAAAGATGAAAAAAAATGTTGATACTAAAACAGTAACACGGACAATTCTGAAAGCAGGATTAGAGCCAGCCTTTAGATTTCAAAACCTATGGGCTGATAGGGTGTGTCTTGAGAAGATGTACCGTAAAGCTGAAGTTTACCCCCCTGTGTCATGTGACGCCCGCCACAAACACCCAGGCTGCCCCATCCTACCCTCCCACCCCACTTCACAACCCGAAAAAGACGAGCCCTATTCATTAGTTGCGCTCCACGGAGCGCGAGTTTAGGGAGAATCTCAAGGCTTGCCTCTATGATGTGGTACCAGCACTTTAAGATAGAGCATAAACACTTCCACTGGGTCAGACGGCCCTGTTCAGGTTTGGTTTGAATTAAGTGATACATAGGTAAGACTCGTCTAACTTAAACGTGATATCTCGGATTCTTCAGAGATGCTAATATCTGTTGGTGTTTCAAAGTTACAGTAAGGTACGAGAAATATGTACTACATCTAACTATGTAGAAAACAACAAAAGTCTTACACACGGCACTGAGAAATATGTAGGGAAGGGGGTTTAGGTCGTTGAAAGAAAGAATAAGATAGAACACTATATCCAGGCGGAGAGAGAGAGAAAGATGGAACACTATAACTTCCGATAAAGTGAGAGAGAGACGGAGAGAGATGGAGAGAGAGAAAGATAAACTAACGTCTCAGATAGATCGAAGCCGCTGGTTTGACATTGGTTTGACACAAAATCGAATCACAGAGCAATATCCGCGGTCCCAGCTCCTAGGGTAGCACTTATAGGACAAGCAGGGGAGAGGGACAAACAGGACAGGCAGGGGGAGGACAAACAGGACAAGGGGGGACAAACTTGACAAACAGGGGGAGGACAAACAGGACAAAAAGAAGTAGGACAAACAGCAGTAGGACACAGAGACTAACGCATAGAACGCAAAAGCTATTATAGGTGGAGCTAGATTGGGTGGAGCTAGATTGGGTGGAGCTAGATTGGGTGGAGCTAGATTGGGTGGAGCTAGATTGGGTGGAGCTAGATTGGGTGGAGCTAGATTGGGTGGAGCTAGATTGGGTGGAGCTAGATTGGGTGGAGCTAGATTGGGTGGAGCTAGATTGGGTGGAGCTAGATTGGGTGGAGCTAGATTGGGTGGAGCTAGATTGGGTGGAGCTAGATTGGGTGGAGCTAGATTGGGTGGAGCTAGATTGGGTGGAGCTAGATTGGGTGGAGCTAGATTGGGTGGAGCTAGATTGGGTTTAGCTAGATTGGGTTTAGCTAGATTGGGTTTAGCTAGATTGGGTGGAGCTAGATTGGGTGGAGCTAGATTGGGTGGAGCTAGATTGGGTTTAGCTAGATTGGGTTTAGCTAGATTGGGTGGAGCTAGGTTTGGTGGAGCTAGATTGGGTGGAGCTAGATTGGGTGGAGCTAGATTGGGTGGAGCTAGATTGGGTGGAGCTAGGTTTGGTGGAGCTAGATTGGGTGGAGCTAGATTGGGTGGAGCTAGATTGGGTGGAGCTAGATTTGGTGGAGCTAGATTTGGTAGAGCTAAGTTTAGTGGAGCTAGGTTTAGTGGAGCTAGATTAGGTGGAGCTAGATTTTGTGGAGCTAGATTGGGTGGAGCTAGATTCGACGTGGATATTTTTATAGAGATAGTAGTGGGGCGGTGACCATTTTATTTTTTAAGCCAGCAGAACCAGAAACAACTTTCTTGACGATTTCTTTGAGTATTTGAAACGTTCCCACTTTGTGTATTTAAATTGTGTTGAAAATAGTTTTATTTTCTCGGCATTCGGGCACTGTACAGCGAAGTATTAGAATCAATTTACCAGAGATAAAGCGTTAACGAAAGGTGTGTCGGGAACACTGTGTGTCGGTAAATGAGTGTGTCGGGAACACTGTGTGTCGGTAAATGTGTGTGTCGGGAAATGTTAACTTTAAAATGTTTTACAGTAACCAATAACTCAAGTAATATTGACTGGAGCTTACCTTACTTAGAATACATAAACATCCATCTAAAGAAATTATAAGCCAGAACTCAACACATTGAGAAGATACAGAACTAATCCACCAAAAATAAAATACAAAACAAAACTGAGTTCACGAAAATCAACGAGAACTTTCCTCACTCAGAAGATAGGAACAACATCCATAGAGAAAATATAGTAGAACTCACCTCACACAAAAGCTAGTAAAATCCAAAGTCTTTTCTTGAACTCGACGTCCCTGAAAGAAAACAAAATACTGCGGTTAAATGGGTTGTTAACTGTAATATGTGTATCTAGAAATGTTAACTGTAATATGTGTATCTAGAAATGTTAACTCTAATATGTGTATCAAGAAATGTTAACTGTGATATGTGTATCAAGAAATGTTAACTGTAATATGTGTATCAAGAAATGTTAACTGTGATATGTGTATCAAGAAATGTTAACTGTGATATGTGTATCTAGAAATGTTAACTGTGATATGCGTATCTAGAAATGTTAACTGTGATATGTGTATTCAGAAATGTTAACTGTGATATGCGTATCTAGAAATGTTAACTGTGATATGCGTATCTAGAAATGTTAACTGTGATATGTGTATGTGTATCTAGAAATGTTAACTGTGATGTGTGTATTTAGAAATTTTAACTGTGATGTATGTATCCATAAATCAATAAACCAGATGATTATAAAAACACCAAGACACATAATGATAGATTCGTATGTTTAACACCAACGGTGTATTTATTTGTCTACAACATAGAATTGTAGATCCATTAACTGTGTAGCCTTATATTACGAGATGATCGCAAATAATTCATTATTGCGTTTAACGGTTTCAATGGAAGAATGGTTAAACTCTTAAGTTTCGAGAATTGAACTGTCAATAATTGTCATTTAAAATAGATGATTTTTCTTTAATGATTGCCACATTTGCTACTTACTCCCCCCCCCCCCCCCCGCTCACCCCACTCACACACGCACACAGATCCCCATCCACACACACATGTAACATTTTAAATATGGCTTTTAGCGAAAGACAATATTCAAAAAATGTTCTAAGATATTTTGTCTTTAATTTATTCACTTACGACAAGTGGGCTATGTGCTATTGTTTCACAATTGATTATTGAAGTCCGTTCTTGAACATTTTACTACAGGTGTGTTGGAACTATTATGGTATCCTCTTTTTAGTTTTTTACAGCAAGAAAAATTGTTAAATTGTTTACATGAAACTTTCATAAACACCCATTGTTGGCATGAAAATGTTTAGAGCTGAGTTCAGGTAATTACACACGTTGGATATTTACATCCATGAGTGTGTAGACACCTGACATATTTACACACCTAGGGTGTCAACACGCCTCGATTGAGTGCACAAAGTTGAGATGGAATCAACAGGTCATTGAACTTTGAACTCACTATTTTGAACGTTGGAACGTAACAGGTACGGTGGTTGGTGTTTGACAGGACGCCAGGTGGTCGGTGTAAACTGGAACAGTCACTCAATCTTACACTCAATCATACACTCAATCACACACTCAATCATACAGGCAACCATACACTCAATCATATACTCAATCACACACTCAATCATACAGGCAATCATACACTCAATCATACACTCAATCACACACTCAATCATACACTCAATCATACACTCAAGCATACATTCAACCATACACTCAATCTTACACTCAATCCTACACTCAATCCTACACTCAATCATACATGCAATCATACATTCAATCCTTCACTCAATAATACACTCAATCATGCACGCAATCATACATGCAATCATACACGCAAGCATACACTCAATCACACACTCAATCATACACTCACTCATACACTCAATTATACACTCAATCATACACTCAATTATACACTCAATCATACACTCAATCATACACTTAATCATACACTCAGTCATACACTCAATCATACACTCAATCATACACTCAATCATACACTCAGTCATACACTCAATCATACACTCAATCATACACTCAATCATACACTCAATCATACACTCAATCATACACTCAATCATACACTCAAGCATACATTCAATCATACACTTAATCATACACTCAGTCATACACTCAATCATACACTCAATCATACACTCAATTATACACTCAATCATACACTCAATCATACACTCAATCATACACTCAATTATACACTCAATCATACACTCAATCATACACTCAATCATACACTCAATCATACACTCAATCATACACTCAATTATACACTCAATCATACACTCTATTATACACACGCGCTACAACAGCAACAACAGATCTCAAGGTATCTGGAGGGCATAAGGTATGAGATAGAGACAGAGAGAGATTGTGACAGTGTGTAGATGTGTGTAGACGTAACACACACACACTCACGAGTCACGTGTGGACATACTGTTGTTGTTTTGTTTAGAAAATAATCTGCTTCAAACATTCAATGAGTTAAGATCAGTCAGAAAATCTTGTTGCGTGAAGTTCGACTACTCTGATCTCGCTGTCTGACGTGGACACTAAATCGCTAGAGGAACAAAAAAATTGTATTTTATTATCTCGCTTAACTCGGTTACATTGACAACAGTAGGGGTGGGGTGGTTTGACCCGGGGGGGGGTCACATCCACGATCTATAGAAAGCGCCATCTTAAAATTGATTCAACATAACCAGAGAGTGCCATTCTTCTCATACAATAAACTTTAACTTTACACCTGATGTCATTAGTAAACCTATCAAGGTAATAATTAATTCATCCAAACTTTACTACAATACATAAAAAATGTATTAGTTTCTTAGACTTTAAATATAGTTTTAACTTTAAATACACGTTCAATAAACTTGTTATCTTCAACTATTTTGTCAACTAATTTAAATATTTTTTTAAAAAATGGAAGTTTTCAAAATTCAGATCAAAATTCAGAGGCTGACCCGTGACGTCAGTGTGTGTGTGAATTTCTATTTTCGCTCATCAGGCGTTGACATAGTTGAAATCAATATTGGGATTGGGATATTGGGACTGGGATATGTGTCCCATTGATTGACATCGCCCCACCTCGCTTGTGGGCAATACGTTACCCTCAGACGTTAGCACTCAACTTAGACGGAGGGTCGAGACAGCCACGGTAAGACAGCCACACGGTAAGACAGCCACACGGTAAGAAAGTCACATGGTAAAACAGTCTTACCGTGTGACTGTTTTACCGTGGCTGTCTCGACCCTCCGTCTTATCGTGTGGCTGTCTTACCGTGTGGCTGTCTTACCGTGTGGCTGTCTCACTTAAGACAGCCACGGTAAGACAGCCACACGGTAAGACAGCCACACGGTAAGACAGCCACACGGTAAGACAGCCACGGTAAGACAGCAACACGGTAAAATAGAGGGACAAGACAGTCACACCTTACAGAGGGTTGAAACAGCTACACAGTAAGACTGACTATCCAGTCTACCACGCCCATGCAACAACATCCGTATCAAAGCCCAACCTCAGCACAGAAATGTTAACGTCACGTCTATGACGTCACGACCTGGTAATTCACTTTGACGTCACGGCAAAACGGTTTCAGCCGTTTAATTAGCTCACGTTTTCAATCTATTGATTGTTATAGTTGTCACGTGCCGGTACTAATTAAAATAATCCCATTAAGAAAACATATCGTGTTAAAGGCAGTAGTCTCAGGGCTAGCCTAAAAATCCCATTAATCTGGTTATCTTGAGTAGCCTATCTGGTTAAAGAAAATCCCATTAATCCGGTTATCTTCTGGTCCTGAAACATCAGGTTTAAGATATTCTTGATTTTAGTGCCGAAAGTATTGAAGAACAAACCTTATACAAAATATCCAAGTATCAAATATTTTGTGAACACTTTCGAAGGAAATAACCTAGAATAAACCAACCAAAAAGACTAAGACCCCATTTAACGACCGATCCTATCAACCGTCTGATATACAGGGACCCCAACACTGCCTCAGCTCCCACTCCAACATTGTTGTTACCGGTCAACATCGTTTGTTTGGCCCCACTCTACTGTACCTGCACTATATTCCACACATTCTTAGCACAAACATGACCGTAAACTGTTGACACTAGCCACAATGACATGACCTAACCTAAATCAGATCCTGATCAAACGTTTTAAAACCAAAGCTTTCCCGTTCAATAGTGAAGCAGTTCAATGAGTTTTCTTAAACCAAAGCTTGTAGTTCCTGATAGGTCCTTAGTGGTTACAAAGGTCCTGCTATATATCTTTAGCAATTAAAGTTCAAGAATAGGTCCATTGTGGATTTCCTACTATAGGTCCTTGGAGAGTGAAGCTCTTATAAAATGCCCTCATAAACTATAGGTCCTTTTATAGTTCCTTAGAGATTGAACGTCATGATATTATCCACAGATATTGAAGGTCCAGGAACAGACGAATTATGAAGGTCCTGTTGTAGGTCATCAGGGAGTAAAGGTCCCAAAAGACAAAACATCGTAAAAAATCTAGAAGTCATGCCTGCAATCCCAAACACTCAACGCATATTGCGTCACATCTTCTGGAAGGTTCTCGAAATGTAAGACCATTCTTCTCGATGTTTCACGCAAGTTATTTTGTAAAAGTAAAACTTAAAAAAAAACGGCGCTTTTCACAAACGGATCCCATTTATTCGTCGAAAATAATTGCTATATTTAGATAACAAATCAAGTCATAATTGCTTGCCCATTGTGTCCGAAATCTGGAGGGCAGGGGCACGTAGCGCGCGGCCGTCTTCAGATCGGCGATGCTGGAATCGTCCAGATTCCCGCCAGGCATTCACAGGTCACGTGGGCGCATGCCTATCTAGGCACTCGGGGGATGAGCAAATGTCTGCCGCACCCACGGGGTGTCGTGCGATTATTCTCGCCTCAAGAAGTTTCATTCGAGTCATCTCCCCTGCTGACGCTACTGTTTTCTTGTAACGAATATCATGGGTTTCTTAAAATAGAATATTATATATATATATATATATATATATATATATATATATATATATATATATATATATATATATATATATATATATATATATATATATATATATATATATATATATATATATAGATGCAGACCTCCTTAGACGCCCCATAAGATGTATTATTTAATTATGGATCAATTTTGTGGAAATCAATAATCACGTGACCTCTCCATCAAGACAAATGATTGGTTGGGTCTGGGATACAAAGACTGACAGGGGGTGGGA